GGGGGGGGGGGCTCATGGGGGCGGCGCGCTTCCCCCTGTCTCCGATCTTCAAGTTGTGGGTGTTTCTCGAAAGTTTGCTCACCCCACGCTGTACATATCCTACCCTCTTGTGAATAGCAAGGACCCAAAAGAAATCGACCGGCCATCGTCGAGCGTACCACCCCCCACTGAGACCAACGATGTCGGGAAGGAAGAGCCCCGAGAAGCAGAGCATCTTCGACAGGCTCACCGACCACACCCAATACACGGTAACACACAGCGCTGGTCAGCGGGGGCCCCGTTCTGCCCTTCTTGCCACCTTTCCTCCAACCCCCACGCCTCTCTTCTGCTTGCTGTTCTTGGTGGTCTGTATATCAGGGTGCCCATAAGCACCGTTTCGACGAGGGCGGTAAGGGGCGAGGGATTGCTGGTCGGGAGGAGCTGGTCAACATTGACGGCTCCACCGAATCTTCTGCCCGCCGCCACGCCGTGGAGAAGACAGTCGACCATGTAGGCAACGACCCCTTGGGGTGCTAGACGCCTTTCTCTGCATGTGTGTCTGCGTGTGGGTCTGTCTGTGTGTGTGTGTGTGAGAAAGGTCGAGCGTGCCGGGCGCAAGCCAGTGGTGCAGGGCGCCCTTGGCCAGCAGAAGTTCGGCACCCAAGCTGAGACACCCATCACCATTTGGCTCTACAGGAACGGTGACAAGCACTTCAAGGGCGTCAAGTTCATCGTCAAGAAGACCATCCGGAACGTGGAACAGGTAGGCTGGATGGAGGACACCTACTTGACAAGCCACCTCATTGATGGTGTGATCGTTTCTTGATGTTTGCAGTTCGTTGCTGAGGCGGGCAAGTCGGGCTGCAGCCCCAAGAGCGGGGTGATCCGCAAGATCTACAAGCAGAACATGAAGACCATCATCAAGGACATCACCGAATTCGAAGACGGCGAGAAGTACCTCTGCTGCGGAGGTACGCTTGTCGGCAAAGACCTCTATATGCCCACTGATGTCATGTCTCTGATTGATTTTTAGCCGAGAAGCCCCAGGATGACCCCGAGCACATCCCTGCTGCCTTCCTCGAGTGAACGGTCCGGCCCCACACCAAGCTGCTTTAGTGACTGACTGTCTGCCCGAGTGCACCTGTCTGTCTACTGTCCTCTTTGTAGCTAGCTGCACTTGCTTCGTGCTAGTAGACGTACGTACGAGTAGCGCAGTAATACACTCATTCTCCCGCCTCAGTTGTTTGCAGAGTAGTACCGTCTCTGCTGCTCCTGCCTTGCTACCTTGCTACCGAATGGTGGCTACCCCCAGAGTTAGGCATCGTCTTTTTCTCTCTCTTTGCTGATCTGCCTGGCTGTCTGGTCGGCTGTGTTTGGCTACAGACGGGTGGGAGGGAATCGGGGCAGGGAAGCAGAGGAGGGAGGAGAGAGACATGGTAGTATGATGATTGATGGTACCGAGGGCACACACCGTCGCCACACCAGGAGACAGACAGCACTTCCATGCACCCATCCGTTAAGTGGAGTCTAACATGAACACGAACAGCAATTGAATTAATGAACCAACAAACAATCCCGAAGAAATCCCTCCGCCACACACAATCGACCACACACATCCACCCCCGCCCATCCATCCGTGAGGCCATCCATGATCAGAGTTCGAACTTGAGGTCGACCACCTTGAGTCTGTCCTCCTTGTGGCCCCGCAGCCCCCGCAGATACCTGTGGTGCCTCGGGGGGTTGGTGCCGCGGTTCTGCAATGTGTTGGTCGACGTGTCCCGGGGGGGCCACACCTGCGTCTCCGCCTCACGCCTGGTGAAAGGCAGAGGAAGAAAGCGCATTAGTGTGTGGGGTCTTGTGGTGTGTCTCTGGGGGTTGGTTGACCTGAAGTTGGAGCCGTTGGTCTGTGTGGACATGGTGGTCTTGTTCATGATGTCGGCGTAGTGCAGCGCTGTGCCGCGCAGCTTCCACTCGTTCCACTCATAGTTGCTGCAGCCCACCGCAAAACATCAGACGGAAGAAACGGCCGTCATGGGATCTTTCTTGAATACCGGTCGATGTGTGACTCGACGAAATGGGTCGGCGTCATGGTGGCGGCGTCAGCCTGCATGGACTGTGCGAGAGACACCCCAGCCGCACCCTCGCTGAGCTTCTCAAGGATGGTCGTCAGAGATGACCTGCACGCACAGAAAGAGAAAGGAGACATGAGCGAGGGACGGCGTCCTAATGCCAGTAGGTAAGCCTACTGACTTTGGGAAGTCCTCGTGTAGTCTCAGCAGGTGGATGAGCTGGGGGTGCGCCAGACAGACAGCCCTGATGCCGATGAAGAACCGCTCGGGCGCCTGCAGGAACTCCTCCAGGGCCTTCTCGTGAGACACCACACAGAACCGACCCTGACATGCAACAACACGATATCCAGCCAGATCAGAGACAGAATGGCAGGATGCATGTACTCTGGTCACCGTACGTACCTTGTATCGCACCACCCCCAGTGAGGGATTGCCCGGCACAAGAATGCCACTCCGCCTTACAAGACACCACACACAGAAACCCTGCACCCATGACACACACGCACACAGTGATGCTGCGCTGCCTTCCTTGGTGCAGCAAAGCAAGCAAGCCCCTACTTGGAAGTCCAATGGCAGCTGCATGAAGTCAGGTGTGTTTTCCATAGTCAGCCGCACGGGTGTCTCCAGCGCCTCGGTGCCCTCTGGCAACTCGGGCAAGGCGTCCTCCTGCGACAAAGAAAGAAGCAGAATGAAGCGCAAGCAAGAGTCTGTTGGTCGCTTCTCGGGCCGCCAACCAGCCTTACCTTTCCGACTTGCTGCCTGAATGCTTCCGCAGGAGACATGTCCACCTGATGCAGATGCATGCAGCAAGGACAGGGAGGGCACAGATGACTGATCTCACATACACGTGTTCCTGTGTCAGTCACCTTTGCGGCAGCCGCAGCGTCGAGCAACCCTCGCGGCACCTCCGGAAAGTAGTCCCTACGCTGAGCCCGCAGGAGCTTCAACAATGGGCTCCTGCATGCACGCGCAGGGATTTCCGTAGAAGCACAAGACCCGGATACAAGAGTCTGGTCACTCACCTTGAGTTGACGACGTTCCTGTGGCTGAGGCAGACACGGAAGAGTCGGGCGAGCGTGTCGAACTTGGGGTACACCAGCTCTTTGGGCACGGACGTCTTGGCCCCCACGCTGATCTTCAGCTCCTGCAGCTCCTGCAGGAACTCCTGCTGGCTGCCGGACAGCGCATCCACTGCCCCAGAGACCTCCTCCAGGAGGCTGCCGAGGTAGGCCTGCATCTGGCGCGTGTACATGAGCTGCCGGATGCGGGAAGACGGCTCGATCACGAGCTTGTCCGCCTCCTGTTTGTCGTCCTCATCTGTCACGGTGAATTCCTTGCCTTTGGTGTACAGCAACACCTCCACTAGGTCCTGACACACGCCCTCTGTCTGGTCAAGCTCCCTCTGAAGCTCCTTCTCGAAACCCCGGGCCTCCTCCGGCCAGGTGCTGTCGTCAAGGACGGGCAAGCCCGCCCCGCCCTTGCCCAGATTCTGGTTGAACAGCCGAATGCCCAGCACAATGTTGCCCAGCTCACCCAGTTGCGTGGCTCTCTCCCCAGGAGTGAGAGAAAGGAACGCACGCAAGCCGAGACGCGGGAAGACCGATTCGAGAGCAGCTGCGACCTCCCTTTCCACCGCGCCGGTGCTCTTGGGCTTAGGCGATGGGTGCCGCACATGCATTCCGCCACTCGGTGTCCCGTCGAAGGTCAGCGGCTCCAGATGGCCCGCGCGGGAGAGCAGCAGCCGGTAGACCTTCTTGTAGACAGTGGCGTGCGCCTCAAGCCCCTCGCTCGTGGACGCGTTGCGGCTCTCTGTGAAGGAGTCCGCAATGTTGGTAATGAGGTTGGCCTCAAAGTCTTCCACGGTGTTTTGGTAGGCGGTGAGCTTCTGCTGCAGGTCGAGGAATGTGCTGTCATAGGTGGCCTGGAGACGGAAGATCTCAGTGTGCGGGTCGCCCTTGGCGAAAATCTGCTGCACCGCCCCCTCGATGAGGGCCCTGGCCAGGGGCTCATCCAAAGGCTTGTCCACGTAAAAGGTGCCTGAAACAACATGACTCGATGAGGCCCCATTTCGCTTGTCTGTCTGTCTGTCTGTCTGTATCTCTCTCCCTCTCTCTGTTTTCCCATGAATGTGCATGCCTGTTGCTGGGTTGAGGAGCGTTGTCGCCACATACGCTGCATACGCCTCCGACACCTGAGTACACACACGATTCAGTGTGATTCGTCTTCCATGCTTCCCCCGCCTATCGTACCGCCTGTCCGAGCTGTCTGCATAGAGTCACTATTTCACGCGTGACAACGCTCAGGCTGATCAGAACCATCTTCGCAACTTGTTGCCGAGTCTGTGAAGCCAACAAACCTCTGCAAAATCTGCGACGAAGGCAAGCTTAGCTCGCAATCAAGCTCGCAATCAGATCTGGCAGGCCGCGTTGGACTCATCGATGCAACGAAGCAGCGGGATGAAGGTGCCAGCGCTGCCCCGCCTCCTGCAGTCGATGCCGTACACGCCCCTGGTGCTGCAGGGAAAGTGTCTGTTCTACGGCGGCCAGTTCCACCCATCCCTCGGCACCGACACATTCAACACACACGACCCAGCCACAGCCGATCTGATGGCCACCCTGCCCAAAGCTTCCAAAGAGGATGTAGATGCGGCCGTCAAGGTGAGAGGGAAGATGCACTAGATGCACTCATCAATTCATCGCATGAGTGTGTTTATGTGCGTGCAGTGTGCTCACCGTGCAAAGGCATCCTGGGCAGCCACGCCGGGATCTCAGCGGGCGGAGTATCTCGATCGCATTGCCAAGCTCGTTGAGGACAACGTGCAGAAGCTGGCGGCCATCGAATCATGGGACTGCGGTATCACGCCACGCAGCAAACAGGAATGACGTGTGTGGCCACCACTTGCCTGTTGGCGTCCCTTGTCTGTTGCATGTCACGCGTCAGGGAAGCCGATGCGCGAGAGTGTGGTCGACATGGAGACCGTCGCTTCCGGGCTCAGATACAACGCGACGCTCGCAAGGGAACTGGAAAAGTGAGAAACCGACGGCTGACACATAAGCAGAGAAGGGAGAGAGAGACCCGTATGTGGGCGGGCTGAGTGCAGGTCGGCGACGCACTCTGTGTCCATCCCGTCCTCTGACTATGAGGCGCATGTCATCTACGAGCCGATTGGAGTCGTGGGACTCATAAGTACGACGACACGCAGCTCCATGCGTATACATGCGATCATTCTGCGATCGGCTGCAGCTCCCTGGAACTATCCCCTGCTCATGGCCACCCAAAAGATCGCATCGGCACTCGCAGGTGACCACATAGATACACATCATGATGCTGCCTGTCTGTGGATGGGTGCGGTGCGGTGTCTGAATGCAGCTGGGTGCACGTGTGTCCTGAAGCCTTCCGAATATGCCAGCTTCACTTGCGTAGGTAAGCGCGGACCGGCACAGCCGCCTTAATTTACTCGTGCTGTTCGTGCAGAGTTCGCTGCTCTGTGCAATGAAGCGGAGCTGCCTCCCGGTGTGTTCAATGTGCTCACGGGCTTGGGGCCGTCTACTGGTGCTGCCATCGTGGCACACCCACTAGTTCGGAAGGTCTCGTTCACGGGATCGGTTGCCACGGGTACGCGATTGACATGCACTCACATATCCACTGCGACATCGATTCTCTGCGCTGCCGGCCTACTACAGGAAGGCAGATAATGAAGACCGCAGCTGAAGGCCTGAAGGTGACCGCGCTTTCGTGCCAGCCTGACACGTGATCTGATGTGATGGCTCGTTGTTCTACCCTGTCCGTCTGTCGGTCAGCCGGTGCATTTGGAGCTGGGCGGCAAGTCTCCCATGCTTGTCTTCGACGATGTCAACCTGGACGCTGTCGTCGGTGAGCAAAGACAGACAGAGAAGCACGCACGAGTGCACTCGTCCCAGCCCCTTCTCTGCCCCTGCATCGGTGCAGATTGGATCATGACGGGCATCTTCTGGGGCACGGGACAGGTCTGCAGGTATGGTCATACGTACGGATGGATGGACGAGACTGTCACGTACCCATGCGCTCCTTCCTTGGCCATTTCAGCGCGACAAGCCGGTTGCTGGTGCACGAGTCTGTCTATGACAAGGTGTGTCAGATGAGTTGATGAGTGGTCGACAGCTACACACAGGCGCCTCTGTGTCTGTGTGTCCGCTGCAGCTGCTGACCAAGCTGAAGGAGGCGGCAGCCAAACTAATCGTCGGTAGGATCTGCACACACAGCACAGCCAAGAGTCCCTTCTGCCCTTACTTCTCGTGTCTGTTGGTCAGGTCCCGCTTCTGACGAAAACGTCACTGTGGGGCCCATCATATCGGAACAGCAATACCAAAAGGTATTCCCACCTGTATTGCTTCTAGTCATCGGCGCGATGTGCACTTTCCGCTTTTCTGTACGTGCAGGTGTTGCGATTCATCGAGGCGGCTGCCGCTGAGGGTCTCACCTCTGTGGTGGGCGGCGACACACAAAGACCGGAGGGGCTGCAGCAGGGGTACTTCGTAAAGGTACGCTTTCGTCTGTTTGGCATGGACGCGACGCCACCCGATCCTCCCTGTATGTGTGTGTGTCATGTGTGGATCAGCCCACCATATACAAAGACGTGCCGACGCAATCGCGGCTGTGGCAAGAGGAAATATTCGGACCGGTGCTGTGCGTCCGGCCCTTCAAGACAGAAGAAGAGGGGATTGAGGTAGGTGACCTGCAGACATACACCTACCTGCAGCCAACCATGCGTGTGGATGTGTTTCATGTGCGTAGGAGGCCAACGCGACGGAGTATGGTCTCGCCGCAGCTGTCATGACACGAGATCCACAGAGAAAAGATAGGTGCGTGCGAATCATATGCAGGAGATGAGTATGGATGCGTACCTGTGCGGTGCTCATGCAGGGTGACATCGGCGCTAGAGGCAGGTCAGGTGTGGCAGAACTGCTCGCAGGTCAGTCAGTCTGTCTGTCAACCAACCACAATCACATCACGTGCCTCACCTGCATGTACATATGTGTATTGCCCGGCTGCGCTGCAGCCAGTGTTCCAGGAGCAGCCGTTCGGCGGTTACAAGCAGTCAGGCTTCGGGCGCGAGTGCGGCAGGGAGGGATTCATGGAGTACCTGCAGACAAAGACGGTCACCTCATGCGCACCGGACTTCTATGAGAAGTCCTTCCACACACAGTGACAGACAGACAGACAGACAGACAGAAGCAGGCAGGCAGACGTGAATAGATGAGCGCATGATTGAGGGTCGATCGCGAGCGTTGTGCCCAGCTGCGTGTACATGTACAGACACGTACATGCATCTACGTACTTTATTGTACACGTTGACAGAAGAAAGCGTCTCTTCGGTTGAAGTGACCGACTGACTGGCAGAGCGACAGACAGAGGTCAATCAGCAGGATGGAGACACAGCAGAGGCTGGCCGGCCACCTCACCACAGCTGCCTATGCCCTGACCATCACTGCGTGTCTCAAATGTGTCCTCGACGTGGCGACCATCCTACTCGATCTCAATGGACCGGTGCGTCTAATTGCAGGCAGCCAGCCTCAGCTGCTTGAACGATTCGTTCATTTGTCCATCCATCTGTGCCTGCAGGTGTTGGCGTTTGTTGTGGTCGATCTGCTCGTCTGTGTGGCGTCGGCCGGCGTGGTGGCGGCCTGCCTCTTCATCCGACCCAACGCACTGTCATTCCTGGCCGGGAGGATCATCAAGACTACAAACAAACGTAGGTCGCTCAGACAGACAGTTGCAGACAGACAGACAGCCATAGAGAGTGTGTGTGGTTATCATATCATGATCACTCAGATGCGGATGAGGGCATGGAGGCAACGCGGGCAGACAAGGTGATGGCCTGTGCGGCGCTGACCTGTGTGGCGTCTGTCCTCGTGTCGTCCCTCGCCTGTGTGAACGTCGTCGCCTTTGTGCACCCAGCAAACACAATCCCACTCATCAACAAGGGTAGGTGTGCCAACACACCCACACGACACATCCATCCATTTTGTCCGTCACTCTGTGTGTGTGCGTGTCTCGTGTAGTTGTGTTGTGGGGGAGTCTGGTTGTGTTGCTGGCGTTCGGTGTGTGCTGTGTGACGTTGTCTCTGCTGGTGCCGCAGTGGCCCAAGGCGAACGACGCACAACTGGCCAAGGAGATGCGAGCGCAGGTCATGCTGGGCGTGAGATGGGTCGGCACACAACTGGCGGCCGCCGGTCGGACGATCAGCAACACATTCACAAGCGAGGGAGGCAGGGGAGGAGACACAGAGTAACACACACATGTGATGAGTGTATGGGTGTGTGCAGAGCCGAGTGCTGACGAGGAGCGGCCACTCATGCAGGGCGCCAAGTGAACCGGAGAATCTGAAGAGACGGACCATGAATGACCAACAAACACTGACTGAATGACTGACCCACAAGCAGACAAACACACAGACATCGGACACGACAGACGAATGTCAATGAACTGAAGGTTGCATGACCAAATCCATCGATTTAGGTACCGCACGTTGCCCATGGGAGCAGCTTGAGCCAGAAAGAATTGCGTGTGGGCCCCTCATCCGTGAATCCATCCATACATCATTCAACCGCAGAGTGCTCCTTGTCTTCATGAGCCTCGCCATCGGCGATGGCCTGAGCCTCTTCAGCAGCACCAGCAGGTGGATTAATCTGAATCCGCTGGGGAACGGCACTCACAGGCACAGAACGATCTGGCCAGCAAACAACACCAAACACGCATGGCACACAGGGTGGCCTGTCATGGGTGCGGCCAGCCATGTACCTGGTGGAGTTGAAAGCAGTGCAAACTCCTTGAGACGATTCATAAGCGGCGGACGGCCTGCACCCCCGTCTCTGTCCCAGCCTATGTGTGTGACCTCCACACGCTGACTCATCTTGTCGAGCGTTTCCTGCACACGAAAACCACCGTCGGTGAGCGAGACAGGGGAAATCGGTTGAGCACATCCACGCATGTACCTTGAGCATATCAGCAAACTCGATGGCCATGGTCTCCATCTGCATCTGGAGCCGGCGAATCTCCGCGTCTTTGGCTGCAATCACCTCGTCCTTTTCAACTTGGGTCGTCTCTATCGTGCGCTGAACATTCTCTGGAGGCCCACACACAGACAGATAGGAGACAGAAGAACATACCAAGCTCAGCCTGCAGTGTGTGTCCACCGCAATCGACTCACCGATGTCGTCTTTTGAGTCTGCCACCTGCTTCTGTAGGTTGTCCATGATCTTGAGGAAGTTGGTCTCCATCTCTGTGTACTGCCGTCTCATCTCGCCGGTAGCCTTGTCCCCCTGGCTGGCCTCTTCAGAAAAGTGGTGGTCCAGCTGGCTCAGCCGCCTCCTCAAGTCCTCACACGCTGTGCGGCTCTTGGCAATGTGCTCGTTCTTCATCACTGTCGAACCGGCAGACAGGTGCAAAGAGGTCGATGCCTCCGTGACGGTGAGGCTCTTTTTATTCCTTACTCAGTTTGTGGTGGAGTGTTTCTACCCTGGACATCAGCACGGCGTTCTCTTGGTCGTAATCCCGGTCCTCATCTCCTCCACCGCCCTTCTTGGCAGCCTTTTTAGGTCCCATGGTGAAGGCACAGGATCAGGGGATCGGTCCTACGGGCTTCTTGTCTCACGATTTGTCGATTTGCCCGGTTGGGCAGTCTGGGAAAGTCTGCATGCAAGGCCCCCAAGGCGGCCCCCGCGCGCAGTGCACTCGCATGCAATCTATTCTCCCCGCCGGGAGTCCCAGCTACAGTTCCTCACTACTTCTACCAGCACGTTGCGGGCCTGCCCGGCCTGTCCTTCCCTTGCACGACTATCTTTGCTTTTCTGCCTGTCGTGACTGGAATGGCGGCCAGGACCAGGTGTCCTCTCCCTTGTCTTGCCAAGATTCACCGACACAAGAGTCGTCGATGGGTCAGTCGCTACGGTGGAAGGAGAGAAGGTCGGGGCGGGGGATTGGTGTGCGATGGGCTCGTCGTACGGGGAGACTGGTGTGTTGTAGGTCCTCTGCCGAGTGGTATCATCCATGTCGCCTCTCCTCAGAATATCTTTCTCCAGATTGGTCGTGCGATCGTCCAGGCTTCTCTGAGCCTCTCTCAGGGAAGAGAGATGGCACCTGATTCTCTGCAGCTCCTCTGAGGATATCTAACCAACAGATGGGCAGAAATCCACATAGACACGGGTTCCAGCGAGGAATAATCTATTTCTCTCACCTTGTCGGTCGGCCTGTAATCTTGTTCGCTCCTCTCTTCCCTTGAGAATGTGCAGCGTCGAGAAAATGCAGGCTCTTTCTCGAAAGCTCCTCTAGTGCAATCTATTGTTTCTTCCTGCCGGTCAAGGCGTGGTGGGCTTGTGTTGTCGACCAGCTTGTTTCGTAGTTGTGCGATTCGATCATGAAACGTCTGTTGGCTTAAAAGACCTTCTCCTGAAGGCCATTGGAGATGTTGGGGTTGCTCGCCCCGCAAAATCTCTGTTGGAGAAAAAATGAAGAAGGGACACATTCGGTCGGTCGGAATGTCTCTCTTTCTGTGTCCCCCTACCGTACCCATGTCATTGAGGTGACAATCAGCAAGGTGTGTGTTGATCAGTCGTCGAAACTCCAGGGCTATCTCGACGCTGGACGGGCAGAGAAGCGGCGCGTTGTCTCTGTCGATCTTACTGGGTGGATGGACGTCGAGACAGAGCTGCATGTAGGGCGCTTCGGAGGGTGCTGGTATTTCCTGCAGACAAAGGGATAGACCGATGCAGCAACAGAGCTACTCAACAAACTCGCTCACCTGCACGTGGAGCCGTGACCTGCTGACGCCTCTCAGTGTGCTTTGACTGATCAGCATGTCGATTGTGGAGTCGGTTGTCCCTCGTCTCACTGTCATGTGCAGCCGCACTCCTCTCCCCAGAGCCTCGTTGCTGCTGCCGACTGAAAGACATGAGCGACGTCAATGGATGCTTCTCTTGACCATCTTCTCACCAGATGTCAGATTGGACGATGCGGGTGGCCCCTCGCCAGCGAGTGACAAAGTGTGCTTGTGGCCGTCTTTCCGCTTCTCGAGTGTGCCTATGCCGAGAGATGAGCTGTAGGTGGCGTGCTCCTGCGCGAGCGGCTCTGCTACCCTATGGATCGGCACTTCATGCTCGGTCAAATATGACCGCAGCCGTCCAAGATGCGATCGGAGGGCCTGCAAAGAAATGACATGGAAAGAGAGACCAAGCAGCCTTTTGTGTTTTCTCACCCACGACATAAAAGGAATAGGCTCGTCTCCCTTCTCGGCGCTGACGCACACTACATGCCCACGTGGGTCACTCACAACAACGCCCAGGGCGGTATCAATGTCCCTTGGCAACAGCCGTCGACGATATCCCAGCTCGAGCAGGCGATCGACACTGCCATCCCCTGGACCCGTGTCGGTCAGGAGCCGCATTGATGGTGGGAGGGAGTTGATAGCTTCGTTATCAAATAGGAAGGCATACATGTGATGGAAGTGTCTCGCTCGACAAGGGATGGGCAGGTCGGTCTGCTGGTGCTGTACGATGGCCGGAATGCCTAGCTTCTCGCACATCGAGATGATGTCTCCTCCCGCATCTCCTTGTGGTGGGAGACAGAAGATGAGGGACAGGGACGGTCCAGAGAGCTGCAGCTGGCCGATGATGTGAGACATCTGGCTCTCCATGAGAGCCAGCAGGGAGCTGGGCTCACCTCTGACTCGCTCACGGCCGGTAATGTGGGAGACGTGATGAAACGGGGACGACGGGGCTCTTTTTCGCGGGGCAAACAGCTGTTGTATCACAGGATTCGAGGACGAAGACAACAGGGCGGCGACACACAAAGGGACGCCCTCATTGATCGGCGCCACAAGCTTCTTGAGCTGGTAGTGATACGACCCATTCTTGAACTGATACCTGGAATGCGGCACAACGAACGAAGCGTCCGAGGCCTTCGTTGTCCGCGGCCACTCAATTGTGGGCCCGTCTGCCCGAAGTGTCCGCTGGCCGTCCTTGATGCCAGCGGCTATCTCGGTGATGAGCGAGGATGCGGAGAGAGCCATGGGTTGTGAGGGCCTGAGCTGCGCGTCCAGGCTTTGTAGCAAAGCCTCGGACGCAAAGTGATGCAGAGAGGGGAGGAGACCATGCGGACTGGAGAAGAGTTGTAAGAGGGTTCCCGAATAGGATAAAAGCCCACGCTGAATGCACGGGTCCAGAGAGACGCAGAATAGACTGCCAGGCCTTCCATTCACTTACATTGTAACGCACCTGAAAGACGCATGGCGGCGGGCCCAGGACGAGTCGCCTAGAGTAATGGAGCAGTCTCTCCCACAGACAAAAGACCATCAGCCTTCGGAACTCGCAGAAGTCTTCATGTTCCGCTTCTTTCCCATCTTCCCCTCCCTCTTCCCAACCGGGCGGCACCACTACCAGCAATGTGCCGACATGTGGCGGCGTCGTATCCTTGAGCACGTAATTCGTCTGGCTCGTCACCCATTGGAAGAGCCGCCGATAAAGATGGCGAGCAATCGTGGCTGGCGAATGGAAGTCGAAAGGATGCTTGAAGCCGCCCAGGTTGCCATCAGCGTCTTCGCCGTACAGTCTTACAAAGAGATCTCTCCCCTCTGCCACTGCCATGCCCAGCAGATGCAGGACATCATCCATAACGCTGCCGTCAACACGATGGGAACAGCCGAGAAGAAAGATGGCCGACAGAATGGAGAGAAGTGCCGCCCGAATCGTTGACGAGAAGCCCAGGACGGTAAGACTCTGCTCGAAGAGGGCCCATGACGTCTCTTTCTCTTCTGAACTGGACGGCTCGTCGGGAAGCCTGTAATGTGAGTTGTCACGCATCCTCAGCGGGTTGTCGGCTGGTGTATGTCTTGTAGTGTGGAGCAGCGCATGGAATACTCGAAGGTTGAAGTCGCGTGGGACGTGCAGCAGGTACGTCCGAAGGTCTGCTCCAGTGACTTTGCCCGCCGCGTCAACATAGAAGCGACAGAGATGGCCGAACGATGACCGATAAAAACAGTCGCCACTAGGCGTCGAATGACACGTGGATCCAAGAAAATCTGCATAACACAGATGCCGTTGCATGCCGTGAAGAATATGCCTTTTTCACCTCACCGAGTATGTAGAGGCAGGCTGAAATGCGCTGACTGAATGAAGAAGACGAGCCCCCGGCATCCTTCGCGGCAAAATCATCGCCGGCGAGTATCTGTGCGACGGTACGGCTCAGATACGACTTTCCGCTCCCCTCTGGACCCGACAGTAGGACAGCATGGGCCGCTGGAGTGCTGACGATGTCTGTGAGCTGGGTCTTGAGATGTCGCTTCAGTTCTTCCTTCTCTTCCGGGCCGATCTTGTCCCCCGCAACGAAAATCAGATGGTTGCCCACACTCTGGAGCCGTTGGCCGCGCTGAATGTTTTTGACAAGCTCCTCCATCGGTAACGAAGATCGTTGGCAGATCGGATCGGCCAGCCCCCATCTTGATGGCCCCCAGTCTGTACTCGTAAGCCGAGTTCAGCGAACCCCTTCGCGCAAGCATCGATGCAGCTGCTGTGGATTCACTCAGAATCTTCAGATCACCGTGTCGGCATACGCCGAATCGCTCGTGACTCACCTGCTTAGGCTAGAAGATGCCGCTCCAGCACCTCATCCGTGGCCTCAACAGCCTCGCCTCCCACTCCCACATCGACTTCATCGTGTACGTCATCAGTGTCTTCTTCTGCGTGAAACTCTGGCAACAGTGAGCAACCAAACATATGCAAACAGTCACTCCGCGCCAAAAGGCTCCATCCCATTGTGTGTGGGTGCTTCAGATGTCGGCGGTTGCTGTGTGTGTTGGGGCAGCAGCTCGGCAAAAGCCAAGACGCGGCTTTTGCCCGTGTGTTTGGGGTGTTTTTTCCGTGGGCCCTTCTGCCCCCCTCTTTTTCCTCGGGGCGCAGGGGCGCCCTGTCCACAACAATGATGCGCCGGTCACGGGCTGGGGAAGCCCTTGGTGATGTCAAGTCAGTGCCGGCGAGAGAGTATCTGCAGGCCAAATGGATGAGTGGAGTGAGCAGACCTTCCACAGCCAAACGGGTGGAAAAGCTGTCGGTTTTCGAGTATGTGGTGTGTCTGCTGCTGCCATCGCTGCTGGTCGTCCGAGAGCCGCAACTGGCGTCACAGCTCGCTGCTGTGCTGTCGATTCTCATAGGTATATGGCCACGTCTGCAACTACCTCACGGCCCTTTGCCACGTTTCTGTGTACGCCGCAGGGTATCAGTTGGTGTCTCCGTTGAGCAGGGCTGCCAATGAGATCATGGAGCAGCTGCAGGAGGCGGGCATGGGGAGGGGCTCCGGCATTTCACAGGGGGAGGACAACACAGACTCTGAAAGCAACAGGAAGGAGTCGCCGGGATTTCAATTTGTTGGGGTCTTTCTTCGGTTCTTCCTGTGGCTTCTATTTGGCCTGTTCGCCCTTGTCCGCCTGGTCGGTACCAACACAATGAATGTCCTCCATTGCTTTCTGCCATTCTAAGTGGGCGTGTATCGCAGGGCTTCAATATCTCGTACTTGCTTGGCGGTCTCGGTCTCACAGGCCTGACAGTGGGCATTGCGAGCCAGAACGTGATAGGAGACATCTTTGCGACACTGAGTGTGGTGGGTGACCGGTGGTTTGCCGTGGGCGATAAGATAGCCATCAACATCAACAATGAGTCGGGCGGGGGCAGGCCGCAGGCACAGTGCGGCATCGTGGAGCACATCGGCATCCGCAGCACACGTGTGCGTCTGATCAATGAAGGTCCCCTGGACAGGACACCACACATACACACAGAGACACAGAGGCAAAAATCCCTCTTGACCACTGTTCCCCATCCTGCAGGGCAATTGCTCATCGTCCCAAACTCAGAGGTGTGGCGTTGCGGCATCCAGAGCTTCACCGACTGCCGGAAGCGCCGGATTCAGGTTGATCTGCGTGTGGCCCTGTCTACGCCCCTCTCCCAGCTGCGACGCATCCCCACATCATGCCGAGTGGCTGTCGAGTCCGTGCAGGAGGTGGCGGAGTGCGCTGGTGTGTGGCTGATGGAGATTGAGGAGTACTTTTATCGGTACGAGGTGGTCTTCTACATCTGTGGCCACGAGGACCTCTTCTTCAGATGGTGTCTGCACAAGGTAGATTAGGCGAGAGAGACAGGTCATAAAGAGAGAGAGACACGGCTTTTTTTTGTCAGGTGCACCTGGCCTTGGTTGAGTGTCTCGACGCGTCTGACGTCTCCTTCGGTCTCAACACGCGCACATTCCCAGTCAGCTGTGTCATCAGCCGGCAGCCGACAAACCAAATCGAAGTGAGCGCGCCACCCACACCCACCGCCGAGCAGCAGCGACGAGCAAGTGCCTTCCCCACATTCCGCGCCCCATCCCCCTTAGCCAAAGACCACCAATTTGAGAACCGACGCGCATCGGATCTGATGATGGGCTACCAGAGGAGGCGGTCATCTACAGGCAGCTTGTCCGAAAGGGAAGGAGACGAACAAGAGCCAGGGGGAGAGGACGTCGACAGCATGGGTGCGGCGGGTTCGGCGCGGCCCTCGGCTGTTCTTTCTCCGAAGAGCCTGCGGCCGCGGGATGCGCAGCGGCAGAGCAGCTGCCTGTCGTGCCTGACTCCCGCGCATTTCACGCCCAGGAGCTCGATGCACTACTCCACACGCAGCAGGAGAAGCTCTCTTGCGTCAAGCTCTAGAGGAGGACCATTACCATCACTACCACCACCGGATGCCGATTCCGACGCTGCTGCTGATGACGCTGCAAGAAGCTCCTTCTCGTCTCCACCCACATCCCCCCACCCGCAGCCCACACCCATCTTCGGAGAGGCAGAGGAAGGAGAGGGCCTGGCCGGCGGCTCCCCTCTGGTCATTCGCGCGACCGCCGCTTCCCCTTCCTTCTCAGAGGGGCGGAAGCGGCTCCTGGGGGAGATCAGCAAGATGGGCTCGGTCATCCTGGACAACGCTGATTTGTCGCCCCAGCTGCGGCCGGTTGTCCTGCGGACCCCTCACCTCGGCCCATCAGAGAGGGCCAGGCCTCTGGTGCCACCCCTGAACCTGCCATCTTCATCGAGCAGCATCGGGGGCGGTGGGGGGAGGGGGAGGCCGGATAATGTCTATCCGCCTAGTACTACCAGTGGCCACCCTTACCCTTATCCCCACCAGCCTTTTCCCCACCCCCACTACGTTATGCCGCCCGCGAGACCGCCGCTGCCACCTGGTGCTGTGACAGTGGGGGTGGGTTATCCGCAGCAGAGGCGTCGGCAGAGCATTGCCATGCACGAGTGGCATAGCGTGGCTCAGAGCCGGGGCAGCCGGGGGAGTGAGGAGCACTCGCATTACGATGAGATGATGCCCGACCCGACGGCGACTCAGATACAACTGCTGCTGGGGCATAGACACTCGGCGCAGAAGAGGCGGCTGAAGCGACACTGATGCGGCTTTGCTGGTGGGTATGGGGGTGTTGGTTGCCACTTCTGTGGGTTGGTTGCTGCTGGCGATGGGGGTGTGGTATCTGCTGGTCGATCGGTGTGTGTCAGGGTCACTTTTGCCGGCAGGCTTTGCTTTGCATGTCACTCACTCTCTTACGCGGGGGATGCAAAGATCACCTTTGTTGCCGTCCGTTCCCTAGCTATACACACACTGTACAAATCGGACTCACAGTCCCTCCCCGTAGCTATTGTGCAGTCACTCTACAGTCAGCATCGGCCGCATCCCATGGGCACAACCCAAAAAGCCGCAGGCCACTACGAAGTAAACTGCACACCATACGATCTCCCTGCCTGTCTGACGTCGTCATGGCCGTCTGGATCACGGAGGCTGTTTCTAAAACTTCCACGCCCCATTCTCAACCGACCACCCCAGCTCCTGAAGCGCCAGCCGCCTTGTAGATGGCCTGACGCTCTTCGTCCGTGAGCTTCTTTCGCCATGTCCCCCAACCGAGCGACCCACAGATGACATCCTGCACGCCACACACACGCACTGTCTCTCTCTCTCTCTCTCTGTGTGTGTGTGTTGTGTGTGAGAGTGTGTGTGTGCGTGTGTGTGTGTGTTGCTCAGTGACCATGGCACAGCAGAAATCGTCTTGTGGCATGGTGAGACAGATCGGGGATCCCACGAGTGTCATCAACCTGTGCTCAGCTGATGCATCCGACCAGGAAGGCCAACACACACGGGGAGAGAGAGAGAGAGATGACGCGCATCTTAAGATCGACATGTGGATCTATCGAGCCCGTTCGTTTGTTCGTACGTTTGTAACACAGCTCCTGAACCATTTCTGTGTAGAATTCGGTGAACGTTCGGTCGTCTTTGCAGCACTGCTTGTGTGCGTCAACCATCACACGCAGCTTGTGGTCGACCAACTGCACACACACACACACACACGCACGCACGAGCGCACATACCGGACGGATCACCAACCAATGAAGGAAGCATCATTGCCAGTCAGTGCGTTTCTCTCTCTCCCCGCACTCACCCGATTGAGAGGTCTCTCGCTAACGATCTTTCCCAAGGCTTCAATCTGCTGCTGCACGCCTTCCTCTTCGGTGCGTCTGAAACACACACACAAACATTCGTACACAAACACACGCACAGGCAGGTACTGTCCGTGTGTCACGCCCACCCATCCTCCCACCCACCCACCCACCCACCCACT